TGGAGCGCCTGTGAAAGTTGGAGATAATGCTATCAGAATCCTAAAAGACATTCCATTTGAAATAAGACAAAGGAGAAAGAAGTACAAAGATTTAATTCTTTTTCTCCAGAGAAATGCAATTGGATACAGATGGCTAACACCAGATGGCTTGATCTTCAAAATCAAGGATAAAAATGAAAAGATTGACTCTGTTTAGAAAGCACGGAAATTTTTGAGAGTCCAGATGGGAGAGCCAGAGGAGGAAGAAAAAGAAGGGATGGACAGTAAGTTCAGCGATGAGCTGGACTCGGGGTCTTCTGGAGAGGACTCTCTATCAGAGAAAGGGGCAGCCGCCCCTAAAAGTCCTTATAAACTGCGGAAGAGACTGGGCAAGGGGAAATGAAGGCTGAAGGACTCTGAATTGTGCCTTTGAAAAACTTTTTTTTAATATACTAGATGCTTAGGGGTCTTTCGGGTTAACAGTGATAGTTAAGATATGAAAAAGATAATACTATAGTTGAATCAGTTCATAATGGGATTAGCGTGATTGAGAGAGAACGCGTGCCAAGCTAACTAGATGATCTCCTCTCTTGGGTTTTTAGATAGTAGTGGGTATCTTTTCTTTATCCCTTAATGTAGTCCCCTTCCCTATTTCTGTTGTAGCTTGTAGTCTTTATAAAAAATGCAATTAAAAAAATCCCCTCTGGGGGGCCAAAAAACAAAACAAAAACAAAAACAAATTTTCTTCTGGAAAAAAAAAGGAGACACTCCCCTTTGGCCACCAAAAAGGCTGCACTGGGTATAATAGGACCTGGACAAACAAAATTAATGTGAGATTGGGGCTGTAGTATGGAGGGAAATTAGTTGAGCTTGGGTGAAAAAGCTGGCTGGATCCAACCCAAATTTTTCCACAGAACCAAAGGTAAATTACGAACAGTGTTGTAAATTTCATACTAACTTTATAGCTTGTCAATGCAAGGAGACCTACAAGCCTTTGCAAATTCTCACAGCTTGTTTAAAGTCATGTACATTCTTATCTGTTCATGTTTCTCTCCTCTGAGATCACCCCCTCCCCCCAAAAAAATGTTATCAGCATGAAGCACTTTCCATTATTTAGGGAACCATAACAATTGGAGAGTAAAGAATTATACTTCCCAGAAAGCATAAAAACCAGGGCTTTTAAATTTCAAAAAGCATTTCGGGGGAAATTAAAAATAGGCACCCCAGAACAGTGAGCAAATATCCTGCTGCTAATCAGCTGTTACAATAGAGAAAGCAATGAAAAAGATATTTTGACAACAGGTATAAGTTCTGACTGACATGCCTTCAAGCAGCAGTTGGCTTCTTCCAGCTGTTCCTGAGTCTGTAAGTGGTGGTCTAAGCCTATTCACAACAGGAATGCTGTGATAGCTGAACTACCCAAAGCACGGCTTCCATCAATTAATATATTAGAAGCAGAAAATTGTTATTACTGGAGATATTCTATATTTAAGGTAGTCTTGGAGAAATATTAATACCCCATCCATTCCACAGTCTCTTATTTGAAAGCTTTCAAAGCAACAAGGACCAAAACAAGGGTATGGGAAGGATGTATGGCAGTAAGTAACATACCCTCAAAACAGCAAAATGTTCAACTATTCCCTAAACTGGTTAATAGGGAAGAATTAACAGTACAATTATATGGCAAGTTACTCCAGTCTGATTTAAATTACTGGAATCATGGCATATGATTATGCTGCAATCTTCCAATGTTCTAGGGTTTCTCGGAGCTGAAAACCAGATGGTCATTTGTTTCCTTTGTTTTCTCATATTCAACAGAAAATTCTCATTACAGTGAATGGTTTGTTATCTGGCACTTGATTATCTAAGAATGTTTAGATAGTCAGAACTCCCAGAGGAAAAGCTCCTCCTCATTACCCAAAATATTCCTTCTCCTTTGGATGAGCACCTGTCCCACTCTCGCTTGTCACACTGGCCAGCATGCTACCTCATCCCACTGCAGGGCTTCTGTCAGCACTGCTAGTTGACATCGTCTCCGGGTAACTCCTTCCCCTTCAGCCTACCACCTGCTGCCTGGAGCCAGCTATGCAGCACATTTCCTTGGCAGCTGAACTGCCTGTCTGCATGCTGCATAGAATGAATTGGAGGGATCCCCACCAGGTGTGGGTGTTGTCACCATGCTGTTCCCAATGAGGTGGGATTTTGATGCTGTGGTGGGGGGAGCAGGGAAAAATAATATGCTTGACCCCTGAGACATCACCCATGCGTACTGGGCAACAAAGCTTTTTCTGTATTTTTCTGATACACAGGCATAAATAGAGAGAGCAAGAAAGATTATTCTGTGTGTGGGCTGGGAACATTACTAAAGGTAATTCAACTAGTGCAACTCATGTAAGACAGCAGTGGGCTTTTTACTGAGTTCTTTCTGATGATGCCTCCTATTATATACCAAACCAATACATCCCACAACCTAATGAGATACACTTAATCAGCATTATGGATTCCCTCCTAAAATAAAGGTGATACACCCATTTCCCACACACACACATACACCCAGACAATGTGTTATTTTGGAACAAAGATAAGAGGTGGAAGAGAAAATGAAAGAAGGTACAGTTCTGCATTCCACCTCAGAAGTTTTTAAGGATCAAGAATAGCTTTGAACAACTGCAGCTCATCATCTGAGACTTTAAAGATGCAAAGAGATTCCAGGGCTCAAGTTTGCCTTCTAAAAGTGCATCTGCTGCAGCAGTAGCCAGCTACCCACTTTAGAAGTAAAAGTCAACTGAGATACAACAGCAGATAAGGGTGGACTTTCCTTTTTTCTTACAAGCCTGCCTCTGGGAGCATTTCCCATAAACCTTTCATTTTAACAACAGGCTTTCAAGGACTGTGGAGGATGTCATCATAATTACAGGAATCTGGAAAAAGACTGCTGACATAAGATGCCCAGCTACCACTAGATGATGTCAGGAAACTGCTAAATAGCTCATCATGAGGGGGGGGGCTCAATCTTGCAGACACCCATGACACTGAAAAATGCAATCAACATAATTCATTTGCAAACAAAAAGGGCAAGTGAAAAAAGTTCACAATGTAGAATAAAATGAAAACTTCCAGTGTTCCTGAAACTCTGTAGCTACCATCAACTTAGAAAGCTTTTAAAAAGTCAACAACTTCAGGAGAGGCCTTTTAACCACTATTAGCTACAGGACATAAATGCTATTGTAGTTCTGGTTAACCTTGAGGGCAAGGATGCCCGCATCATGTAAAGAGGCATCTGACCAGACATTTGAGCGAGACTGAATGGATTTTTGGTATGATCAAGCAAGAACGTTCTTATTCTTTTGCTGCACATCTTTTATGGGAAACGTATACCATACAAATAAAATTATCAGATGGAACACTGGAAATAACATCCATTTTCCCCTAAAGCATGCTAATGACTACGTGAATTCATCTGTTATAATATGTTGCCAAATACAATAGAAACATCTGTGGAACATTTCAGGAAAATACATCATGGACAGCAGCATTCTATAACCATTCATACATTTCCTTCATGTATTCAAACCTATCAACATAGAAGCCCATCATTGTTCATCTTCTTGTGTGATTAAAATTCTGAGCACTGACATTATTTTTGGCAATGGACAGCATCCCATCAGTTAATCAAACTTTAAAGATAAACTGAAAAGGACAGCTAGATGTCAAAGTCATTTATCTTACCTGACAAGCAGATGTAGGTTAAGTATTCACCCTGACCCCCAGTTGCTAGAAAAGGAATCTTTTTCTTCGTTCTCCTTTTTACTTGGACTGCTCCAAGCATCCGTTCGTCATGTGGAGCAAAAATTTCTTTGTAGATAGCAGATTTGGCACTCATTGTAGATCAGAGGCAGAGCAGACAGCTAGTGTTCCTAAAATAAAATCATGTTGTAAAACTTTAATTTCATCCATAGCACAATGGCTTTCCTCCCTACCCACAACATACACCCAGACACAACACAGATTATTTTCTAATTCTACCTCAAATAACCAAAGGTCAGCTAGGAAAAGGGGAGTGAGACATTGCCCTGTTGGGATGAATTGCCATCCATCCTCTCCTCTTAAAATGCATCCACATCATATAGTTTAAGCATGAGAAAATAAGATAAACAAGGCAGAACTAGGTATCACCCAGGAGAATGGCTGGGTAGCACCCAGACGCGCCCAAAACAGAAGACAGCAACCTATCTGCAACTGACAACAATGGCAGGGGAGAGGAAGAAAGAGAAGGATCTTCCAATTGCCTGCTTTGACCCATGTTTATTGTTCAACTTAATATCAACAGCCTTGACTCTGTAAAAAAAAAAAAAGGCAGGATATAAATTCTTTTGGGGAAAACACCCTTATGTTAACCAAAACAAATCCCCATTACAATTCAAATTACACGCACCACTGTCTCACTTTCACATACACTTGGACAGCAGCTCTGTGTAGATATAATCCTGCACAGTTTAGTTTGGGGATTCGACTTGTAGCACCCTGCAGGTATGTGCACATGCACACATACACACCTTTTACTTTTGGAGGGAAACCACAATAAGCATTATGACTGCACTAACATTATGTCAATTAATCTTTCTAGTTGTATCAGATATGGGTCTCCCCTTAGACCCTTCTGTCAACTCTGGCCTTGGGCTTGCTCAGATGCTGCTGTGCAACTTCCCCTGTATTCTTTGGACATCATTTGACAGACTCCTAGTGGTTCAGCTGAGGCAGGAGAAATGAAAATTTGGAAAATTTGATAAACGCTGTGTCAAAGTAACACTATACAGAGGGTAGTAATTCTTGCCTGGTTTTCACTTCTTCATCTGCATTTAAATCTGCTACATAGTAGCCATAAAAAACCTGTCATATAGCTAAGAAGAAACGGAAGAGAGATGTGAATTGTAAACATTTACGCACCAAACCAGAACCAAGAAAATTTCTTTAAAGAACGGAAAGAGGTTTTAACTAAGGATAACCCAGAAGAGATATGTATGGTAGGAGATTTCAATGGGGTTTTTGATCCCATAGAAGATAGAAAGAAAGTAAAAAAAACAGTAAAAGCAGGTGCAAAACTGCCAAAAAGTTTCATAAAAATAGCAGATGAACTGAGATATTTGGAGGACAAGAAATCCAGCAAAAAGAGATTACACATATTTCTCGGCAAGACATAACTCATGGTCAAGGATTGATATGGTCTGGATAAATACAGCTATGGCAAAGGAAGTACTAGAAGTAGAAATCCTGCCGAATACCTTTGCAGACCATAACCCAATCTGGTTATCATTACAGGAAATACATAAAAAAGCAAGATGGAGACTAAACACAGGAATGTTAAGAGACAGAAAGTTTGTAGAAGAAATCAAACAGGAAGTGAAAGAATTTATAAAAATTAATAGAACAGATAAAATGCCGCTAAGTACCATATGGGATACTTTGAAAGCAGTGGTGAGAGGCCTATTTATAAGACACCAGGCTTGGAAAGGAAAACAAAAACGTGAAAAGCTTAAAAAATTGACAAATGATCTTAAAATGGAGGAAGTAAAGTGGAAAAGTAAAGGGGATATAGACGGAACAAAAATTAAAATAAAGCTCATACAACACCAAATAAACTTACTACTAACACAAGAAATAGCTAATAAAATTGAATATACTAAAGCGTATTATTTCAAAAACGCGAATAAACCAACGCATTGGTTAGCTTATAAGCTCAGGAAAGAAAAAGAAAAGAGAATAATAACGAACTTAAAGAATGTAAATAAAGAAGTAAAATATAAGACTCAAGACATGAAAAATATTGTGGAAGAGTTCTATAAAAAGTTATACAGTCAAGGAGAAGCAGACCGAAAGGAAATCAAAGAATTTATCACAAAATACAATACAAAGAAATTTAACGATGAACAAAGAAAAATTCTAAATGAGCCTATATCAACTTGTGAGTTAGTAGAAGCGATTAAAAAGCAAAAGATAAAGAAATCCCCAGGACCAGATGGTATTCCGGCGGAGGTTTACCAAAAATTGGAACATAAAATAACTCCACTATTTAAAGACTTAATCCAAGAAGCTATGAAGACTGGTAATTTACCAAAATCATGGAATGAAGCATTAATATCGCTAATCCCTAAGCCAAATACAGAAGCAAATGAGATAAAAAATTATAGGCCAATATCACTCTTAAATGTGGA